GAAGTTTAGAAGTCAAACTTCCGACAATATGGACAGATGAAAAGCAGAGCAGGGCAGAGGCAGAGAGAAGAGGAAGATTAGAAGAAAGAAGATCAGAAGAGAAAGAGTAAGAAGAAAGAAGATGCAGATGTGCGAAAAGGTAGGAAAGTCGCGAAAAACTGTGTTTTTCCAATGATTTGGGGCTCCGGAGGGTCGAAAAGTAGGCTCGCTAAAGCGGCGGGTGCGGAGCCAGCTGGCCAGATGAGAGATGAAAAAGTGCACGCCGTTGTGGCGCGAAGCACATTTGGAAGTCAAAATGTACAAAGCACACCATTCTCGGACCACTTTTGGAAGTTGAGATGTCGAAAAAGTGCACGCCGTTGTGGCGCGAAGCACATTTCCAAGTCAAAATGTACAAAACACACCATTCTCGGACCACTTTTGGAAGTTGAGATGTCTAAAAAGTGCACGCCGTTGTGGCGCGAAGCACATTTCCAAGTCAAAATGTACAAAACACTCAGGGGTTCGGACCACTTTTGGAAGTTGAGATGTCGAAAAAGTGCACGCCGTTGTGGCGCGAAGCACATTTCCAAGTCAAAAGTGTTAAAAACTGGCGGTCTCGGACCACTTTTGGAGGTTCAGATGTCGAAAAAGTGTCGAAAAAGTGCACGCCGTTGTGGCGCGAAGCACATTTCGAAGTCAAAAGTGTAAAAAACTGAGGGTTTTGAGCCTTTTTTGACGTGAAGATGTCGAAAAAGTAGACACTGATTAACTTAACTAACTTGACTAACTTAACTAACTTCACTAACTTAACTATCCTAACTTCGACGACAACAGCAACAGCAACAGCAACAGCAACAGCAACAGCAACAGCAACAACAACAACAACAACAACGGTCGGACGCCCTGTAACCGCGCGCCGGCAAGGGACAAAATCCCCATGGCACGGTGGCGTTCAGTGCCTTTTTCCACACGCCTGCCATTGTTTCGCAACTAGGTCCACAGCCACGCTTGATCTTTGTCCAAATCAAACATGTGGCGTGGTTCATGGCCCAATTGGCCTGCTCGGTCCTGTATATCATATATATATATATATGTATATATATCATATGTATCAGAGATATCATATATATTAAAAACAACATAGAGATCATATATACCATAGATATCATAGATACCATATATATAGATATATATCATATTTAACACATATATACATGTATATATATATATATATCTAATATATCATAAACAAAGATATCATGTATACCAAAGATATCATAGATACCAAATATATCATATACAACACACATAAACCCAAAGCCCTCAAAACCCCCCCCCAAAAAAAAAGGTCACGGACACGGTCCAAGCAGCACGGACAATAACAAAACCAGACGCGCCGACGCGCCAGACAAAAAAATTAACGTCTTGGCGCAGAGAAAAAAACCGCTTACAACCGTTTAAAAAAAAAAGGGAAGGCGCGAAACGACAGCACACACACACACGAACGCTATTATGCCCCCCCCCCCACCCCACCCCCCCGAAAACCCACCCCCCACCCCCCCCCCAAAACCCCCCTCCCCAAACCCCCAAACCCCCACCCAGAAGAGCACCGCAAAAAATCCTGTATTTTTTGCGCAATGAAAAAGGAAAAAGCAGCAAAAAACAGAGGAAAAAGTAGGAAAAACATAATACGGTGCGCGGTAACAAAGGGTCCGAGGGAACAACAACAACAACAACAACAACAACAACACCAACACCAACCACAACAACAACAACACCAACCACAACAACTACAACTACAACAACTACAACTACAACTACAACTACAACTATAACTACAACTACAACAACTACAACAACTACACAACAACTACAACTAGAACTACAACTACAACAACAACAGCAACAACAACAACAACAGCAACAACAACAACAACTACAACTACAACTACAACTACAACTACACAACAACTACAACTACAACTAGAACTACAACTACAACTACAACTACAACAACTACAGCTACAACAACAACAACAACAACAACTACTACTACAACAACAGCAACAACAACAACTACAACTACAACAACAACAACTACTACTACTACAACAACTACAACAACTACAACTACAACTACAAAACAGCTACAGCTACAACTATATGACTGCAACTACACTACACTAATTACATTACACCACAACTACAACTCCACTACGCTACAACTACAACTACAGTTGCAGTACATCACCCTACATCCAGCAGTTGTGGGTGAGGTGACCACTGCAACCATTGCAACCATTCCAGCAAACACAACTCCAACCACCTTTCGGTCAATCAGTGGATTCGCTCTGCCATCCGTGATTCACAACAATCAATCTCTCCTATAGGTTTCCTATTTTTGAAACTTCCGCCACCGCCTTGTGCGGTACTACTGGTACTGGGAAGTGGTTTTTGCAAGCTTTTGTAGTAGACATCAGTACTGGAAAGTACTTGACATAAAAATAGCCAAGAAGAACTTAGCTGACATATGGGAAGACATGGAATGAGATGAGAAGAGCTCAGATGAGATAAGTTGAGATGAAGTGCAAGTGTGAAGTGTGGAGTGTGGGGTGTGAAGAGTGCAATGTGAAGTGTGAGGAAAGTGTTTGCATTGTACCGGGGTCGCGCGCAGGTCATGTTCTTGGACAGCAACACTGCAACAGCTTCGCACAAAGCATGCACGCACGGGCCTGGCTGGCGCACGGCGCATGCAAGTTCCTTAGTAGTAGTACTGGGAAGTGATTCATGAAAGCTTAGGTGACATATGAGAAGAGATGAGATGAGAAGAGATGAGATGAGAAGAGATGAGCTGGGATAAGGTGAGAAGAGCTCAGATGAGATGAATTGTGGAGTGTGAAGAGTGCAGTGTGAAGTGTGGGGCGTGAAGAGTGCAGTGTGAAGTGTGGAGTGTGAAGAAAGCAATGAGAAGTGAGAAGTGTGAAGTGTGGACTGTGAAGTGTGAAGTGTGAAGTGTGGAGTGTGAAGTGTGAAGTGTGGATTGGGAAGAGTGCAATGTGAATTGAGAAGTGTGGAGTGTGAAGTGTGAAGTGTGCAGTGTGGAGTGTGAAGAGTGCAGTGAGAAGTGTGAAGGGCGAAGTGGAGCTTCAAATGTGACATGTGAAACAAGACACCACTTTCGCAGAGTGCACGCACGCACGGGCTTGGCTGGCGCACGGCGCGTGCAAGTTCTATAGATGAGAAAGGTCTTAATATATCTTTAAGGCAACTTCCGCCCCGCCTCGTGCGGGTACTACTGGTAAACACTAAATGAAACTTTAAATGACACCCGAAAGGAACCTTAAAGAAACCTTAGAGAAACCCTAAAGATACCCTAAATGGCACCCTAGAGAAACCCCAAAGATACCCCAAATGACAGTCGAAAGACACCCTGAATAAAACCATAAATGAAACCCTAAATGAAATCCTACAGAAACACTAAACAACCCCCAAACAAATCCTAAACGACACCCTAAAGAAACCCTAAATGAAACCCTGAAGAAATCCTAGATGAAACCCTGGAGAAACCTTAAATAAAACCTAAAGATACCGTAAATGACAACCTACATGAAACGTGAAAGAAACCCTAAACAAACCCTAAATGAAACCCTAAACAAACCGCAAATATACCTCAAATGACACCCCAAAGAAACATTATATAAATGAAAACCTAAACATACCCTAAATGACACCTTAAAGAACCCGAAATGAAACCCTAAAGAAATTTCAAATGAATCTCCAAAGAAACCCCGAATGAGACCCTAAATAAAGCCTTAAAGACACCCTAAAGACACCCCGAATGAGACCCTAAATGAAACCTTAAAGTTACCCTAAATGACACCTAAAGAAAACTTAAAGATACCCTCAATGACACCCTAAAGATACCCTAAATGAAACCCTAAAGATACCCTAAATGAACCCCCTAAGAAACTGCAAATGAAACCGTATAGATGCCCCAAAGAGACCCTAAATGACACCCTAAAGATCCTGAAAGAAATACCAACATGTAGCAAATACCATGCAACATGAGAGGTTGAAGTGCCAAAAATATAGCAAATACCGTGCAAAATGGAAGGATACCATGCCAAAATGTGGCAAATACCATGCAAAATGACAGGTTCTAGTTCCAAACTGTTGCAAATGCAAGGCAAATACGCCATTTGTATCTGAGACAATAAAGGGAAAACAAGGTAGGAGACAAGTGGGAAACAAGTGGTAAAACGCAAAAGTGAAAAGATACATCCGGAGAGCATGCCACCACGTCTGAAGAGCCGGACACCAACAGCCAGACCGCATAGGAGACAAATGAAGGGAGACAAGTGAAGAGAGACACCCGAGAGGATCACCATGAGCCAGGCTGGGAGACAAACAACATCAGAAGAGCCGGACACCATGGGCCAAACTGAGAGACATGAATTCGAATACCGGGGCACAAATGAATTGGAGGACATCCGGAGAGCTGGACACCACCAGCCGGGAGACAAACGAATTGGGAGAGATCCGGAGAGCCGGATCAGACTAAGTCAGTTGGGATCCGGCATCATCCGGCTCTCCAGACACCAGAAAGGGAAACCCCAAGTGAAGAGACAGAGAGCCGGACACCAGCGTCCTGGGAGACAGATGAATTGGGAGACAGTTGGGATATTGATATTACTGGAAAGAGCCGACACCTCTTAAGAAAGAAGTGAGAACCCCAACAGTAAACTGTTTGGGGAACAACCAAAAATTATTCTTCACCCTTTGCAAGTCCACCACCACATTGACTCAGACGTTTGAACATGGGAATCCACATCCGCCAGGAATCATTGTGAGCGGTGACCTCAGCGTTCTTGCCCCACGGGTGCAGGGCTTTCTCAGTAACATCAACATGGACCTTGCCACGATGAACTCGATCTTGCTGGAGCAGAAACTCTCAGGTGTCTGGTCAAGTCGGCTTCAGGTGTTGACTGTGATCCACAAAAGGATAAAAGTAAATCATGGTTAGCACAGTGAGGAAAGCGAACCCTTCGACATTCTTTGGGCCATTGTGGGGCCCTCTGTAACCCCAAGGTGGCTCCAGTGATTCTCCTCAGGTGAGCCATGGGAGTCCGCGATGTGTGGCTGGCTGCAAGACAACACACAGATCTGGCAACTCGCCGTCCACCCAGGGGCCCTAGGGGCCCTGAGGTTTAGCATTGATGTTTGTTGATGTTAGGGGTTCGCACATGTGCCATGAATTCCATGAGGATTTTTTGTTTGCATTTTCTCGCGGCCTAGCCTTGCAGTGACTGCTCAATGTCAGAGTTCAGCACTCATCGTCCGAGGCAAGATTGGCTGCCGGATGACTCCACCTGTTTCCCAAAGTTTGGCTTGTACAATGAGAACACCGAGCAGTTTGTTCCCAATCGAGACGACAAAGAGGGTCTCAGGTAGGATACCATGCTGGGTAGTTAAGGCGATAAAGGTTCAGATTTTGACCAAACTCGATGTGAGTGCATTGACAAACTCAATTTTATGAGTTAGGATTTGGGATACTAAAGCCGCTGCTTGACCTGCTATGTTGACAACAAGTCATGGGTGTTTGTCTTCATTCCAAAGAATTCAAAACTTGACAATAGGCTCTCAACTTTTCAAGAATGGCGAAGAAGCCCAATGAAGGGTTATGAAGCAGACCAAAACTCATGTAGCAACATCGCAGCCGGAAGGTTTCGAAGTACGAAAGTTGGCACAACAAGTTTAAAAACATAGTTTTGGACGACCAACCCCTCCGTTTGCCCGCGCCGACGTCCACCACGTGTCAGAACATCAAAAAAACACTGTGTCGTGTCGGACAAAATGCACATGTCCATCATCATCATCATCATCATCATCATCATTATCATATTCATCATTCATCATTCATCATTCATCATTCATCATCCATCATTCATCATTCATCATCCATCATCCATCATCCATCATCCATCATCCATCATCCATCATCCATCATCATCCATCATCCATCATCCATCATCCATCATCCATCATCATCATCATCATCATCTTCATCTTCAAGTCTCCCTTGAATATAATATTTAACGGGGGTGGGGACTTAATGATTCCCTAGAAACTCCTTGCAACCTCTTGAAGACTCCCTTGAATATAAAGTTTATAACAGGGGTGGAGACTTATTGATTCTCTACAAGCTCTGTTGCAGCATCTTGAAGATTCCCTAGAATATAAAGTTCAACGGGGTTGGGGATTTCATGATTCCCTAGAAACTCTGTTGAAACATCTTGAAGATTCCCTTGAATATAAAGTTTCTCGCGGGTTGGGATTTAATGATTCCTTAGAAGCTCTGTTGAAACATAAACATCTTGAAGATTCCCTTCAACACGCCAGTCAATATCCCTTTTCAACGTACTTGGAAACTGTGCAAATGTTGTGTGGGCGAAAGGGGGTTTGCGCGTTTTGGTACCACGCCATTTTTTCCCAGCTGCAAAACATGGAAGTTTGCTTCTGGAAGTTACATGTTTTCTCTTACCCCTCCAAGACTTGCCTTCCAATTTCATTCCCCGCTGGCTACGGGCCGCAGTTGCCGTGCTTGTCCGAGCGGAACCTATTCCAAGCAGCTCAATGATGATGATGGGACGACCTACATTTGTGAGGCCTGCTCTGCAGGCACTTCGGGAGATGAAACATCCATCCCTTGAATCATTTTGAACCTGTCACATTTTGGGAACCAGCACTTTGGAAGTCTTTGGTACGGAAGCAAATTGCTTTCCAAAGCTCGGTTTTCCATACGTGTAAACGCGGATTTCAACATGGCACGTGACAGCTCTTGGTGATTTTGCAATTTTATCCAGCCATTGGGGTTACTTGCAGGCACAAGCCAGCCTTCTGGTGCTTCCTTGGCCTGCGATCCGTGTTTGAGGGGTGAGTACCAAAACGAGCTTGGTAAGCAAACCTGCAAGCGATGTAATGTGGGCTACTACCAGGATGAAGAAGGTGGCCCTACCTGCAAAAAGCGCCTTGGAGACACGTTACCCTGTGCCTTTTTGGGGAGGTGCCATTGCTTGTCGCAGGAAATCTGCGGTGCAAACGCTGTTGAACCATGATGTCTTCCCACCATTGGACGTTCGTCTGAGGTGTCCAGACAACAGTCGCACCCTTCAGTTGGGCTCTTTGTCTTTCACAGACTGCGGTTGCATAGTCGGCTACATCAACGTTGCAAATGCTACTGCAGGCCTGACGACAAGACGCCCGGCGCTGGAAGTGGGTGGATGCTTCCATGAAAGGAATTTGTTCGGTTCAGCCAACGAACTCAGTGATTGGATTGGCATTTTGTTTTTCCGCAAAGTGTGCCACGAATCCTTTACTCTACGGATTTCAGAGTTGTACATGGTTACAAGTGAGGGTTGTTGCATTTTTTGGAGGCAAGCTGTACCAGCCACACAAGTCTTCATGCGAGATACAAAATTATTTTGTGAAAGAAGGTCAATCTCCTTGTTGCCTCGAGACGGAATTGCAATGCCATCCATCGACGCATGGTAGCGCGGGTTGATCTTTCGGAATCTATGTGCCCCCGTCAAATTGATGTAGCAAAAAACCACATGCTTTCTGTAAGAACGGCTTGCTGTCTCCGCAGGCAATTTGAGCTGCACAAAATGCCAAGAGGGCTTGACCTGCCCGGTGATGGGCACCTTGACCAGTCACTTGTGCCTGCATGGTTGACCGCTGTTGGTGGGCTCACACTGGGGGGGTGGGCTACGGGGATTCTCACAACAAAAAAAGGGAATTCATTTTGTACCAACCAGTATATAAGTATCAGAGGATGCAAGTCTTGGATATGGCTTGTTGCTGGGCTAAGATGCTTTCACTAACAAAAAAGATCGACTTGTCTGCTTGAAATCAGGGGTCTGGCAGACCCTCGGCTTGAGACATGGGGATGGAAAAAAAAGACCCAAGGACATATGTAACATCTCCCGCAGCGCTGGGCTGGATGTTTTGGACCTTGGCGCCTTCTTTTTTGGAACCCGTGTGCGTTTTTTTTGACCTGGCACAGGGTGGGTGGAATTTAGATACTGAGACAAGATGCATGCAAGAAGTTGCTGATGCCGGGGAAGTTCCGGTATTGAAACAATGAAAACGTAAGAAGTGGTGGAGGGGCCAATGGGGGAAGTCTACGTATGAAGCGAAATGGATGCAGGAAATTGACGGGCAGATAGGGGAAAGGGAAAGTTCGATATTGAAACAGGATGAGCGCAAATAGTTGTTGAGAGATGAGGGGTGAAGCCTAGACATTGAAACGAAATAAAGATACATGAAGATACATGCAAAAGATTGCTGAGAGACGCACGGGGAATTTTGGGACCCGAAAATGAATGCCGGAAGAGGGTGGGGGGAATTTAGATATTGAGACAAGATGCATGCAGGAAGGTGAAACGGGGGAACATGTAGAGATTGAAGCCAGGTGCCGGCAGAAAATTGGTGAGAAAGAGGCAGGTGGGAGAGGGGAAAGTTAGACATCGAAACAAGGATGAACGCAAGAAGTTGCTGAGACGAGAAGCGGAAGTCTAGATATTGAACCCAAATGACGGTGCATGCAAGAAACTGTGGGAAGCTGAGATATTGAAACCGCATGAATGCGGGAAGCTGTGGAGAGGCACAGGTGGGGGGGACTTTAAGAGGCCACGGTGGAGCCAGATATAAAACCAAATGAATGCAGGAAGTTTCTCAGGGGCACCGGGAATATTGAAGCAAGATGAATGCAGGAAGTTGTTGTGGGGCACCGGGGAGGAAGCTTAGATATTAAAACAAAATGAACGCAAGAAGTTATGGGGAGGCTGCGGGGGAAGTATAGATATTGAAACCCAATGAATGCAGGAAGTTTAGGAAGTTTGATGAGAGGCACAGGGGGGAAGTTAGATATTGAAACCAGATGAGTGCAAGAAGTTGTTGAGAGACAAGGGGGGAAGCTTAGACATTGAAACCAAGTTGAGATGCATGCAAAAAGTTGTTAAGAGGCCAGAGGTGAAGTCTTGAGACCAAGCGAATGAATGCAGGAATTGGTGAGAGGCACAAGGGGGGGGGAAGTTTAGATATTGAAGCCAGGTGAATGCTCCCAAGTGGGGCACAGAGGTGTGAAGAGTAGAAATTGAGAAGAAGAGGGCAGAATGGGAAGGAGGTGTGAAACCCAATGTGTCACAAGGAGATGGGCGCTGCACTCACTGGAGAGTATAGATATTGAAGCCCAATGAATGCAGGAAGTTAAAGAAGTTTGATGAGAGGCACAGGGGGGAAGTTAGATATTGAAACCAGATGAGCGCAAGAAGTTGTTGACAGACAGGAGAAGCCGAGGTATTGAAACCAAATGCATGCAGGAAGTTGCTGAGCGGCACAGGGGCGCAGGAGAAATTCGTATATTGAAACAGCGTAAAGGCAAGAAGTTGTGGAGAGGCCAACGGGGGGAAACCTACATATGAAACCAAATGGATGCAGGAAGTTGAAAGGCACATTGGGGGAAGAGGAAGTTAGATATTAGAACAAGATGAGCGCAATAAGTTGCTGAGAGTTGACGGGTGAAGCCTAGACATTGAACCCACATCGGCTGCAGGCAACGAAGACCGTCATGGACAGATGTGTAAACGTACCGGCGAGGGATGCTCCTGGGCGCAAATGGTCGCAGCTGAGGGTGGCACATGAGTCGACATCGAAATCAATGTAACCTCGTTGGTTAGGTATCCGGTCACAGGACGTATGGACATGTAGACGCGGCTGGAATGCAAGAAGATGAATGCAAGAACTGTGTCTGAAGAATTGCGATCAAGACGCGGCTGGACAGAAACTGGAGAATCTATCCAAAGGGGGTATGGTTTGGGAGCAGACCGTGTACAGGAAAGGCTTCCTCCCATGTTGCATGCTAGCTGCTAGCACGGTCAAGGCTCCCAGACTGGCTATACCCCTCGCAAGCAGCAACGAACTCACCAATGACCCATCCTGGGGATTGCGAAGCAGACGCTGCTAGCGCGGCTCTAGCCCCCTGCTGTCCAGGCACGGCGGCCAGGGTAACTGTCCTTCCTGTCACACAGGTTGGAGTTCAAGGCTCCCAGACTGGCTATACCCCTCGCAAGCAGCAACGAACTCACCAGGATGAGTGTCCAAGTCGGTTCAAGCTAACACTACATGGCACTTCCTGCCCAGTTGCATGCTAGTGCAGCTCTAGCGCCCTACTGTCTGAAAATTGCGATGCAGACGCGGCTGGACAGAAATTAGAGAATCTATCCAAAAGGGGTATGGTTGGGAAAGGGCCAGGTCAAGCAGGAGGGAAGGATGAGGTCCAGCAGGAGGGTGCGCAGGTCCAAAAGAAGGGTAGCCATCTCCAATAGAATTGTAGTAAGGTCCAGTAAAAGTGTCCAGGTCCAAAGAAATGTAATGAGGTCCAAAAAAGTGTTTTCCGTACATTTATATACATTTATATCTTCTATTTTTCCAGAATCAGAAGTGGAGATTTTCATATTTATATATAATATATAATGATATATATATATATACATACAATACTCGAAGGAAGTTTAGAAGTCAAACTTCCGACAATATGGACAGATGAAAAGCAGAGATGGGAAGAGTCAGAGAAGAGAAGAGAAGAAGAAAGAATATCAAAAAAGAGAAAGTCTCAGAGGAAAGAAGATCCAGGTGCGCGAAAAGGTAGGAAAGTCGCGAAACACTGTGTTTTGCCAATGATTTGGGGCTCCGGAGGGTCGAAAAGTAGGCTCGCTAAAGCGGCGGGTGCGGAGCCAGCTGGCCAGATGAGAGATGAAAAAGTGCACGCCGTTGTGGAGCGAAGCACATTTCCAAGTCAAAATGTACAAAGCACACCATGCTGCACCTGCCTCCAGACATTCAACAACCCCCTCACTCACGAAAGAAAAACTGTACCCTTGGAAAACTGGCCAGAAGTGCTCTGGCTTCCTCACTCAAGCTCCCTGCGCGGTGACGAGGCTGCGGGGCTGTTGTGAATTGAGAGACTTTGATTGCTGTTTCTTCACCGCAGTTGCAGGGCGAAGGTCCAAGTCTTGCCCTCCGCAAATGTCTTCAAAAGGCAGTTCTGCTCCAGCCGAAGGTGCCCCAACTGCCGCAAGCCATTCAAGTTCGGAAAACCAGCGGGGCAGGTCAAGGTCTGGCGGCTTTGGTGCTGAACCACGTGTCGGATTGTCAGCTCTGTTGGAGGCAGTGTTGTAGTACATGGGACATCGCCACCAATAGCAAAACAAATGCCATGCTGAAGAACGCGGTTGAGGGCTGGTGATCCCTTCACAACTGCTCCTAAACTGACCTGAGAATCAAGTCCGAAGAGTATTCTGGAGGCAGGAAAAGGGTTTGCTATGCGAGACTCCTTCGTCACAAAGGCCTGCAACTCAGTTATATTGATATGCTTTGGCCGACGAATTGGCCTCCTCCAGGTTTCATGATACTCAAGGCCACGAGCTGACACTTCCCACAAAGGGTGGCTTCTGTGCCCTTCTTCTGGCGTCTCTTCCTCTGCGTCCAAAAGCCCATGCATTCGCAAAAAAGCTCTGCTCGGTGCCAAAAGCTTTGTCCAGATGCCCTTTCTGAGCGTGTGCCGGGCAACTTCCTGCACCACTTTTCGAGGTATGCTGGCTCTAACTGCGGCCATGACCGCGTTGCTGGAGTCAGCAGCGCTGACAAAACTTGCAAACCCCGCACGGAGGTGCCAAGCGTGCCCAAAACTACCAAACTCGTGAGCTCGGCCTTGAGGGCTCCAGAGAGGCGCAAAACAGTCTTGTCGCTGCAGTCCATCATGAGGGGCTCAAAAACAACATCCAAAGCACTGTAAAGTCAGCGGCGGACACCAAGAAGGGAAACCCACATGCCGGTGATGCCTTGCAGGAGGCCAATGGTACACAAACCTAAGGTGCAGATCCAGCAGGTTATCACCATGCAGGGCCACAACCGTTTGTAGCTGGCTCTCATCAGTCCTTTGTCGCCATCAGCATCAATGCCCCAAAAGTTGCAGCGAGTCTCAGCTTCGAACCCTTTCTTTGGGTTGTTCAACAAAGCCGCACTTTCATACGCCTTTCTCGCAGATTGAACCCGGTGCTGGCTCTGAGCCAGTCACAGCAAGATCAGTCCGTAGCACCTGTTCCAACACCACCAAGTCACCAACTATAGCAGCAAAAGAGAGACTTGAGCACACTGAGCATACTCTACAGCACATTTGTCTCCCATAGCGAGGAATGAAAGTCCCACCCCCACCGTCACCCTGCTGCAGGGCCATGCAAAACTGTCGCCAAAGACAAACTTGGCCTCTTCCAAATTCAAATCCCTTGCAAAACATTGCGAGCAGCCCTCTCCTCGAGTAGTCACGCAGATGCAGGTCTTCTCCACTGCAAACCAAAACGCGGTCGGAGGGCTCCAGGTACAGTTTGAGCTTCTCTACAAGGTTCGCTCTCACTTGCACTTTGGGCGGGACACCAGCTTCTGATACCGGCACGCCTCGCGAAAGTGGCTTGTCATAGAGCTCCGCAGTGCTGAAGTCAAAGTATGGGTGAGGGTCGAATGCAGGCTTCGGCGGGAAAGTCAAGCGATCTGCAACCAAAGGTTTTGCATTCACGTTCTCCTTGACGTCAGCCTCACCTTCAATTGTGCCACATCGCCAGGCTTGGACGCATTCTTCAGGGAAACCATCAG